TGTACACATCTTTTTTTTAAAGCAAACCATGGACAAGCTAGAGTAGTTCATATTTCTCTTAGAGATGTGAAAGTGTAACTGTGTACACTGCTAACTGATAAGCCTGGGCCCATCAGTTACTTTGCACGGTTACATGCAGGCCCTTCTTTCACCCTTCCCTCCCTCCCCCCCGAGCTGCTACCTCTGTATCAGAGGCAACAATGAGGGAGGCGGGAGCAGGCAGGAGCTGGTGCTTGAGCTGGCTCCCCATGTGCACCAGCTCCTGAGGAGCCACCTGCTCCCTCTCCCCCACATGTAACCACTGAAATTTTCAGGGGTAACATGTTTACTTGAATAAATACATTTTAAGATCCCTAATTTCTCCTGAATTTTACTTTACATTGAGATTTTTAATTACTAGAGACCAGAGTGTCTACTCCAGATGTATATAGTCCAAATACTCACTAACAGGTAGGTGTAACAGATCTTTCTTGTTAGGTTTTTGAAGAAATGGGAAAGGTCTTGGACATACTTCAGAAATTGAGGGAAGATCTTGAATAGATAATAAAACTGCTGATTAATCATCAGTTCATGCCTTAATGAACAGGGCTTGACAAATTCATTTATCTACTCGCCCGTGGCAAGTAGATTGCAGCCAGTCACCCCATTCACCGGCGGTGTACACATGCGCAGTGCGGGTCTGGCGCATGCGCAGTGCGGGGCTGGCGAGTGGATTTCGCTGTGGTTTGTCGAGCCCTGCTAATGAATATAGCTTTAAAAATATAAACTAATACATTGCAATTCTAAAGTTGAAGGAAGGATTTTGAACTGCAAATATAGTATGGAATTTCAAATTACAGTTCACAAAATGAAGATAAATTTTATCTGGATTTCAAAGTTTGTGTGCACCAAACTTTTTATTTCTCTCAGTCCTATTTGAATACCTTATCTTTTTGTCCCATATAAACCTAAAATGATCCCCTAAGTAGGGATGATAAATTTAGATTAATTAACTAATTGAATAGTCGATGGGATTTCTATCGACTATTCGATTAGTCTATAAGGGTGCCTACTTTGAAGTAGGAATAAGAGATCCTCCGGAAAAGGGCTTTTTTCCGGAGGATCTGGCCAGTGTAGACGCTCTTTTCCGGCTTTTCTAAAAGCCGGAAAAAAAGCGACGGACATTTTTATTTAAATGCCGCGGGGGATATTTAAATCCCCCGCGGATTTCCCTATTACGATCTCAAAAATTACCATGCCCCTTCCGGAAAAGGGGCCAGTGTAGATGTAGCCAGGGAGGAAAGAAAGAGGGGAGGACAACAGCTTGAGGGCAAGGTGTTAGGGTTGTTAGAGATTGCTGTAAAAATCAGGAGTCTGTATTCAGTCCATGATCTTTAGTGTCTAAAGAAGTTATGAATTTAAGTTTCCATGTTTGTCTTTTAAAAGGATTGTGCAGCTTTTTTTTTTGAGGAAGAGGGCTAAGAGGTCTGATAGAGCATTTATTTTGTGAAAAATGTTCATCCATAGGTAACAGAGTGTTTTTGTGTTCTGTCATTTTCTAGTGTAAGTTCATTCAAGAGTTTAATGCAGAGGGGTCAGACCATATCCTGCCTGCCAGACCCTTCTATCAAAGCTCCCTCCCCTTCTGTGTCTCCTCCCCTACAGCCTCAGTCCCCCCTCCCCCAACTCTCACGTCTGTAGTAACATCTTTTCCCACCAACTGACCTACGATTTCACTAGATGAATCTCATGTTACTTATATGGAACAAACTGCACAGGGAAATTGTAGAATCTCCCTCACTGAAGATTTTCAAGAAGAATTTAGGCAGCCACATTTGTCTTGGACAGTTCAGAAGAATAGATCCTGCTCATTGGCAGAGGGCAAGATTATATGACCCTTACTCTTCTTTCTAACAGAGAATTTTCCGGACCATGGAAGGTCAGTATTGTCTAGTATCATTTCCAACACTTGTGCTGCTGTAGGACATTTGGGAAAAATTAGAGCTAAGTAAGAACACAGAACACTGTGCTGGTAGCTGTAAACAAACTTTATGGGACCGTGGGAAACTTGGCTACACCCATGAAAGGTGGACATCTAGCTAACTAAAATAATTCTGGACAACGGATGTTTCTGGACCAGAAAGTTCTGGACTAGAGAGGTTCAACCTGTATAGTTATAAATGGAGGAATAAGATGGGAGAGAGGAGTTTCATAAAGAAGCAGGAATAGAGCAAGAAACTCTAGATTATCAAATATGATAGTCAGGAAAGTCTGTTCGGCATGGTTTATACGATTGCCTTATAAAAAGACAACCAGGAGAGATGCTTTGACCTGAGTCAATGCACTCTTTTTCATTGTACATTTTGCCTCCCTTTTTCTGTTGGGCAGATATCAGTACAGGCAGTCCCCGGGTTACGTACAAGATAGGGACTGTAGGTTTGTTCTTAAGTTGAATTTGTATGTGAGTCGGAACTGGTACATATTGTAGGGGAAACTCTAGCCAAACATTTCTCCAGAGCTCAGTTTTATTCTCCCACACCTCACTTCCCTCAGTCCTTTATTCTCAAGCTGAGGTGTCTGCTGAGAAGGGGGGGGGGGTGCTAGCTTCGCGTCTCCCTGGTCTGCTGGGGGGAAGCAGCTAGTGCAGGGTTGCTTCACCCTGTTTCTAAGTAGGGATCCGATGTAAGTCGGATCCGATGTAACCTGGGGACTGCCTGTAGTTACATTAGGTATGTCTACACAACAAAGAAAACATCTGCAGTGTGGGAAGATCCCAGACCTCAGGGCCCAGTTAATGCAGGGCCCTTTGCTCTTGGTGGCCAGCCCTTGTGAGTGCTCCAGCTCTGGAGGACCCACAGGATCACTGATGATGCCGGATCAAGAAGTGTTTGTGGTCTAGGGTAATCCGTATTACAGAGGTTCAGCTTGTACCACTTCTATTTTAATGCAGCATCTATTGTATTTGGGTACATTTATGTTTTCTTTTCTGTTTTCATTCAGGGTGATGAGTTTTGACTAATTCATTTTTTGATTTGATAGTGGATCAAAGATTTAAGGGACTAATTTTTGTTTGGTCTTCTCTGTGTAGACTTAACTGTAGAGCTGTATATTTTTTAATAAGCACTGAATATGTGATATTGAATCCTAATAACCAGGGCAGTGTTTTCAAATTTGGATACTTCAATAAATTGCTTGATTTTCACACATATTGGGCATATTCCAATTCCTGTTGGAATTGTGGGGATTCAGCCTTTATGAAAGTTCCTTAGGTGTGTGAATGAAGATTGATATGCCTGGTTTTGTGTCACTGGCTTGAGAATTCAGCCCTAGAGTTTGGTGCCTAGTTGATTTTCTGGTTTCATCAACTCATTGGTGCTTGAAATATCTTCTACAAAATGGGTAGAACACTCAGCTGTATTGATGACATCTTTTTAATGATTTAAAGGTTTTTCAAATTCTTCTTGATATTTTGTCAGAGGGATATTTTAGGTGGGGAAAGTAAACTGAAATTTTTCTACTTCTAAGCAATTCTGATGGAAACAGTTGCAGAAATTTCTAAGCATGTATTGGGAAATGTCTTGGAAGCAGAAGGAAATCTGACTGTGGGTACCTTTCCTTAGGTTACCAAAATAAAATAGATCATGGAGGTCACAGTTAGCTATTACTTAGTATTTCATCAGAACTTAATTGAATGTAATGAAAATAACCTACATTGCATTTAACTTATACTTAGCTGCCATTTCTGTCCAATAAGAGGCAATGCTTATTTCATGGTTTGTACATTTCCAGATGGACCTTCAACCGATAAAGACTCTGAAGACAAAAAAAAGGAACCTGCATCTTCATCACAAAACAGTCCTGAAGCAAGAGAAGAAAGGTATTTGAACCTGTGTGTGTATATAAAATGAACTATCACAACTGAAGAATTATTAGTGTGAAGAATCAATTTCTTAGGTGCTTCCCTAAAATATTTAATTTTGGTACAAGTATATCTGGGAGTAGGGAGGGCTGCCATGTTTTTATGTCAAAGACAGATCAGTGTAAAATAAAAAAAAGTGGTGATCATTATCAAGGCAAAATATAGGGTCTTTTGTAGTGGGGATGAAGGTAAGTCAGTTCTGTTGTTTAGTATGAAAAAGTGTCAAGTCATTGACCACAATATGAACTGAAAGTGTGGGTGTGTTGCCAGAAGAATAAACCTTTGAAAATGTAATTTTTTTTCTTCGAGTGCTGGTCCCTATGTGACTACAATTGTGATGTACTCATGAACTCCATGTGCCTGGAGGTAGAGAATTTTGAAAGCAGTGTCTCTTGGTATGCATATGTGCCCTGTGTCATCTGGTGCTTTCAGCTCAGGAGACAAAAGGTGGAACAGGCCAACCACCTCTCCATTTCCTTCCCACTTCTGTGTGGTCTGGGTTGGAGCGTTCAGTGTCTGAATATTCAGGTTTCTTTTATCTGTGAATGTATGTAGATAGAGTACATGGTTTTATGGTCTAGGTTTAAAGTTGATAAAATGCTAAAATTATCAGATAAGGTTTGACTCTCAAACTGAGGTGTGCATCCCTTCCTCCCCAGCATGCACACCCTGTTTGGCTATTGTACTCTGGGCTTCAAAATTTGTGGTTCCTGCCTGCACGCCTTTTTGATCAGCAATGACTACCTATGCCTCTTGTACTATTTTAGGGAAAGCCCACATTGTAACAAGGTGCAGTACCTGCCATTCATTCCTCTGCCATACCGTTACCATAGACTCTTCCTTTAGGTGATTCCTGTGACACTGCAATGGGCCTCAGACTGGGGGAACCTCCACCCCATAGATCAGTGCAAATGCTGTGGTGGACAGATCTGTGTTTCTGCCCTAACGTGTTTGTGTAGGGGGTGTAAGTGTAAGGGGTGTAGATACATCTCTGTATTAATCACAAATATCTGTATTAATCATTTTCTCATTGAAGTTTTTAACTTTGTATCAGGGCCCTTTATAAGTCATTTTATATAGCTTTGTATCAAGTCCTTTTAGGTAGAAACTTTGTACGTTGTCATATAGAACATAGAAACTTTGTATCTTGTAGAATATAAGATAAAGAGGATATCTTTGTACCCCCTTTTCCTTAATTGATTGCCATGTTGAACGAATGAAGTGTTTTGCCTTATCCCCTGGAAAGATCCCTTGTAGTACTTTAAGTACAATAGTAGGACCTGGAGGGGCTGGAATGGCTTCCCCAACACATAGGAGCCCATGAGATTGATCTCTTGACCTTTGCCCCCTCTATAGTAATATTCTTGTTTCATCTCTGATCACACAAAGATTCTTTTTTATGAAGACTAATCATTTCTGTAGCTCTAAATAATTGCATAAATGTTGTCTTCTGTCTTGAGAATATTGTTAATGAGATGTAAAGATAAAAAAAAGTTTATTTTGATCTAGGGTGAAACATGTTGGAGAAGAGACACTTCATATTAATTGTCTGTTTTCATTTACTTTAGCAGTTCCAGTAGCAACTCCAGCATCAGGAAAGAGGAGGCTAATGCTCCTTCAGATTCCTTCATCCCTTCTTTTCCTCGGGCTCCAAGTACTTCAGATTCTGTACGAGTGAAATGTAGAGAAATGCTAGCTGCTGCTCTCAGAACAGGAGGTGAGCTTTGTAGAACTTACTCACAATATTTGATTTTGTTCTGTTTCTTCTTCCTGTGTATCCTAGCAGTGGTTGTTGGACCAGTCAGAATCCTATACAATCAGGCTGGCTAGTAAAATATAGGCTCATCCAGATTAGCATAATCCTGGCAACCTAGGAGCATGCTGAGGTGCATTTCATGTTGCAGTCCATTTGACAAATGCTTTCCAACCGGAGATAATTCTCTTCATAGTGCATATTAGCCATTACCTCCTTGTTCATCAACTTAATCTGTTTCCATGAAAGATATCCTTTCAGTGATGTTTTTAGGGTACCATTATGTCTGAGTCCTGTGACTTTTCAAATTCTAGTAGCCAGAATCTCTGTTTCAATTGGGACTTAATTTTGCTACAATACACCAGGCATTGGTGTTTGGATCATTTTAAATACCTAAAATAATTTAATTTATTTATCTAACCCAGAACAGCAGTATCCTCTTCTTGTCCAGTTTCAGGGGTGTTAGCTTCTGTGTCTTTTGAGAGTTATATAATGTAGAAGTGAATGAGACCTATGAAATAATCTATTCTATCTTGCTTTCAGTGTCAGGAGATTTATCACATCTTTGTGTTTTTATGCTAGAAAATAAAATCTTCACTACTTCCTTTGGGGGAATTATTCTATAATTCAATAGATCTCTCTGTCAAGGCTTTTGTTTTCCAGCTCTTCCTACATCTGCCCTTCCCACTGTTCCTTTTTATTTTCAAAATACAGAAATAACCTATAAACTTGATGCATAATCTGCACATCTCCATGAGATCCTCACATCAAAGTTTCTCCTGTTACTGCTTATGTTTACACCCTTCAAATAATCGTACAGTTTAATGCTGCCATCCTTCTAAAGCTATCCGTTAGCCAAACGCTCATTTTTAAATTTAAATTCAAAACTTGTTCCAGAAATAAACATAGACCCATAGCAGTGGGAACCAAATCTGTTCATTATTAACTTCCTCTTTGGTTCAAACTGTTTTGTGTAATAAAGAGTAAAGGACAATCTCTCTTTCTTTCACATACATGAGAATTTTGAGCATGATGCACAGTAAATGAATGAAAATGGCAAATCGTATAATACTGAGAATATGTACTAAAATATCAGGATGTTAAAAGCAATGTATGTGCAGACAGCTTGGATCCTTCCTACTACTTTCTCTCTTCAGAAAATGGAGCCTTTTTTTTGGACCCCAGAAGAGTATTGTTTGTAGGTCCAAGCTCTGCCTTCAGGTTAACACTATCTCTTCCATAGTAGGGCTCACTTTCTAAATACCAAGTCATCAAGTTTGTATACACTCATTTGCAGAGAGCATCCAGAGGCAGTTAAACAGGAGTAATATTTTACACAAGTGTCAAAGCCTAGCTGGCAATAAATGAAAGTTAGGATGCCTAACTGACTTAAGTGCTTGTGAAAATGTAATTTAGACTCCTAAATCATTTAGATAACTTTACAAACTTTGCTCAAGGTCAGTTGAAAACACTCTTGTCTTTGGAAACTTACCTAAAATTATTACAAGTCTAACAGACTAAAAAGAGTTATTTCTTTTCTTCAGTTTTCTTATGTTGTGCATTTTGACATTTTGAGTGTAGGCACTTTTGTTGTTTTTTTTTCCCATTAGTAATCGGTCATGTTCTGCTGTTTTTGTTGGTCTTTTTGTCAAATTGTCGTGGACATTTGATAAATATGGTACTTGAATTTTTTTTAACTTTATGACATTGATGGAATTCTGTAAACTGTAAATGAAGGT